ACATTATACGCGATCACAAATACTAGCTTTGTTTATGGCCACAGGTGGCTAGTACACTGGTGACCTCGATCAACAGCGTGGGATTCGCGCGTTGGGTTACATAACTAAACATCGAGCTGAACATGGAGACCTAATATGCATACAGCTAATGATCGTGAATTATTCAATGCATACAGTTTAAAATCGCTTACAAAGTTTGTTGTAATAATAAACGTAGAAAGATAGATTTAATATTCTCCGTTTTTGAACACTATTAATCTAATTTAAAAAAGAAGAAAAGAAAGACTAGTTGTAATAAATAATTTAATAGTGAACCATAAACCACGTTTTAAACCTTATTAAAAAGAAAATTAACATTAAATACCGCAGGGTATATTATTGATAGCAAGTCTGTTTAAGTTATACACATGAAGAGGTCTGATTTCCTTGCCGAATGAAAAACGTTACCTGTTTACCTGGCCTGCTTTCTAATACGTATTACGCAATACCCATGGTATACTCGAACAAAACAACATTTTCATTAGATCAAAAAGGTGTAAAAGAACAATTTTGTTCCCAAGATCCAGATCGAAATGTTTACCGTTTTTGAGTTATAAAGCAAAAACTTTTAAGGGCCCAAGATCCCTAATCATAGGGGCCAGCCCCTTTTAAATAGTATAATATGAAAGCCCTTGCAATTATGCACAACTTTTGTTCTACATGTCTTAACAAAATATTTCTAGTTTTCAAGATATAAAGGAAAATATGTCAAATTTTTTGCTGTTTTCCGCGTTCTAACTTTTGACCCCTCTCTAGCGCCATTTTTAATGCAAAAATCAAAAAACAAAAACCGATGTGCACAACTTCAATGCTTCCTCTTTTCAATTTCAAAGGGTTTTGTGCTCCAATTATAACCATTTCTGAGCCTTTGTCTGGAAATGGGAGGCATGCGAAATTCAATCAAAGGGGAATAACTCGTGAACAGAAGGTAATTTCTGAATTGTATTACGGTATTCTGACAGTGTTTTGTAAAGTCTAAAAGCTCTGAAAATTTGAACAAAATCTGTTTAAAAATGAGGAAGATATGAAGCGTCAAAGTTGGCGTCTAGGAAAAAAAAAAAAAAGAATAATCTTAATCATCACAATCAGTAGAAGGTCTTCCGTTGGAAACGGAAGACCTTAATAAACGGAATTCTTCTTTTCTTACTCGATAAGTAATCCAAGATTAGACCAGTATGACACAATCTATCACATTAGGCAATTTTAACGTAATGTAAGTCCAACGATCATTAATCGATATGCTTTAAAACCAATTGCTGTATATAAAAAGACATTTAATCTCTTTCATCTGTCGTTTTTACCTTGTTAATTCAAAAGTTCAAAACTGTGTTTAAAAGTAAAGGTTTTTAACTGAACAACTTAGCGGCGGCAAAAAAGGGCTTCCGATAATCCTCTATCGCGCTGTTTGAATCAGCGGGACCCTTTGATGTATTTGATCGAGGACAAATTGAGGTTTAGCAAAGTTTCATTACGGAACTAAATTATTCTTATTTAAATAATCAGGTAATTAACAAAGTTGATCCAATGGCCTTTGATGAGTAGGTTTATCCAATTTACCAGTTGATCTTCGTTGTAAAGCTAAGCCGTGAAGTTAATTCTTTACTCTTTGATAATTCTTTGACGGCCAAAGATAGGATTATCCATACCGCTATGAACTTTTCATCGGGGAAAAAAAATCTGTCAGAGGCAATATAAATCCAATAACTGAAACATATTAATTGAACTGTGTTTTGGTATGCCTTGATGTATTTAAAAACAAATTCATAATTATAACAAGACTTCACAAAGGCAAAGATCAATGAATCAGATACCGAAGGCATTTGATCTAAGCTTAAAGCATCTTGACCCCTTGTTACGAAATGTTTTATTTGCTTAATTGTCATTATATACAGTTGTGGGTGTAGATTTTTAGGTGGAATAGTTTAAAAGATTTAAATATCTTTTGTGATAATCACCTGTATCATTTATTATCTGCTTTTTTAAACTTGACATTTGGGCGAGGCCCTTGTCCCTGTACAATGATGAAGCATGACAAAGCCAATATGCATGTCCGTTTAAGAAAGCCCTTATATCAGAAGAGGGATATACAGGGCAGTCCCAATTCCTTTTTTCAATAATTAATACAGTAGAGTTTCATTCACCGGGACGCCAATAATCCGACTCTTCAACTTCCGGAACAATTTATATCTCTACATACCAAATATGTTTCAATAAACCGGAAGCTTCATAATCCGAAAATTTCCTTGGGAAAACAAGCGTCCGGAATAGGCTCGATTGTATATTGTTTATTGGACTAAGGCCCTTTATTAATCAAATTTCACTGAAATATATATTTTTTTCATAAGACACTGTACATTTAAGGAAAGATTCAGATATATACAGGCAGACAGACAGTGAAGAACTCCTGTACTTGTTCATCGAAAGCCAAGGGATATATTTTTTTAATTTTCAAAGCCGTGGTAAGATTTTCTCTAACAGATTAAAAAAAAAAGAATGTCACACTCTCCTGAATAATACTGTCCTTTTTTTTTTTTTACTACATTCAACAAACAAGATTTTGACATGGACTATTTTTTTCTTGCACAGAGCAGAAATATATATATTATACATGTATATATCAAATATATATTTACGCATATACTGCTAGATAAAAAAATGCACAAGCATAGTTTTCGTTTTTGATATGCTGCAACTCGTTTGTATCATTGCTGTTGCATATTGAATCATTTAACACAGTCTTCAGAAGTCTACAATACATGTCATACATAATCAAATTCTCCATCCATCTACACCACGATAGGAATGCAGTTGTTTGTCTTCACGCAAGCCATACCGCGAAGTTTTTCCTAATCAGAATGAAAGTTCATTACTTCAACACGTGGTTGGCCCTTGTTCACATCGATTAAACTTAAAGAAAAAAGGGAATTCTTTATGAATTGACTCTTCGAACAAGGTGATTATGAATAATAAACACGCCGAGCAGCTATGCAAATCTTGCATTGACCTTAGGAAATGTGCTTAACTTTACAATGATAACTTTCATTGAATCAGTGTCGTAAGGCCAAGGCGTAAATTTTGGATGGAAGAAAAGAGGCTCAGTTTTATCGAAATAGTCTAACGTACTTCTCTTTTATGCTGTAGTGGGTCGTGGTACAAACCAAGTGCAATATAATCATTATCATCACAATTAAAGAGGCTAAAGCTTTTTTACAATGTAATTGTGCACGGAAGGATTGCACATATTGCACTTTCCATTTTAAACCATAAATTCCACATTTGCATGAAGAATTCATGTACATGTTAATAAATATAAAAGATTTTTTTTCTTCAAAAAATCATATAATACTGAAAAGAATTTTGAAATAATAAATAAATTTTAAAATTCAAAAAAAGTAAATATAACAATAATAATAATTTTAAAATCCAAGCGAAAGTAACCCCCCCCCCCCCCCATAAATTATTATGCTTCAATCCATGTTTTGTTTGGAATAAGATTTATCTAAAATATGTATAAAGCTAGAAAAATGCACGATTTAAGAAAGTGCAGTACACATAGAATGTTTTGAAATTGCACGATTTAAGAAAGTGCAGTACACATAGAATGTTTTGAAATTGCTGCTACTTCTTTACTAAAAATATCTATAATTCATGCCTCGCTCCCCTCTAAATCGGCTTAGCAGGTCAGTATAGCGGTCTTATTTACTCTTGATGCTGAGATAGATGTACAAAATACACCCCTCCCAGAAAGATTGTTTCCTTATCTCCCTTTCATGGATAACACAGTTATTTATCAGATAAATCTTGACCACTTGTGATTTGTTCTTTGTACAATACCTACAGCGAAGTAATTATCGTCCGCCGTCTTACGATCGTTATTTTAAAAGAAAGCCGTTTTAGAGAGAGAGAGAGAGAGAGAGAGAGAGAGAGAGAGAGAGAGAGATGGCTATTTCCCCATTTCTCAAAACATTCCATATTACTGTGAGTCAGTTTCTACTTAAATTTGAGATTTGTTTTAGTTTTAAGTCTTAAATATAGCTATTTGAAATTCATCTGAGATTGTCAAAAAATATATATGAAAAAAAATATTGCGTGATCGAATTCTCGTACCTATTCAACTAATAAACATTCTATTTAAAGTATGAACATTTCTGAGATCAAAAGAAGCGAAAGTGAACTAAAATCAAACATAATTATTATAATAATAATGAGCAGCACATCATTTTATCATTTTTCGTTGAACTTTATATTTGTTTCATTAAACGCTTTAATATTTCTACATTTTTCAAAGATGAAACCTTATGATTTATGCAGTTCTTTAACCTACGGACATAGTCAAGATATCAAATGCGATATTAAATGATAAAATGTCAAATTTAGGAGATTGATTTATTGATGTTGAAAGGGTAAAAAGATCAACAGAAAAGTTGAAAAATCTTTGATATCAAGAAATCTTACTTGATTTCTTTTATTTTCTTCGCTTTAATGAATCAGTTTAAATTGTTTTCCTTGAGGGACTTATTGGTGTTCTTTTATTAAGTGGCGCCAAACGATTTAAAATTGAATTAATAGCCCGTTGACGAAAACAACACAAATATATATATTTAGTCATTGAAAAGTTATGAGAAGGTTTGCCCTTTCCCTTTAATCAACTTGGACATGAAAAATACACTTTGATTTTTAATTTCTTAATTTCTGTAAATTGAATTTCCCACACATTTCAAACGAAAATTTCAATAATACATTTAACCACTTAACAAGTTATTAATGTTCCATGTACAAAAAGCAGAACAAGAGGAAAAAAGTGAATGGAAATATAATTATGACATTATTGTTCGAAAAAGAAAGTTTAATAAGGAAAACTTAAATGACAGTCAAAATTATAAACAGAAGATGCAATTTTCTACCACCTCAAAGTTGAATGTAGTTGACAACTGATACACTTAAGAGTTTCATATACTTACCAATATAGATCCCTTTTTTATGTGCACACTTGAATCTACTTCGGATGTCTACCACAAATACTATCACTAAATGACCAAAGTTTGCGAGGGGATACGGATCGAATACTAGCACCCCCTCGTGCGTATTTCTTCGTGTCAATTTCTCATCGGGCAATAAAACATCATACTCTCCTCTAGGCGAAAATGGGGCTACATGCACTATATAGGAACTCTTAGGCACGAGCAATAGACGCTGACATTCCCTTGAAGAAGTAAAAAATATATCACTACAGTTTAATTTTTTCAAATGTGCGAAAGCGGCTTCGGCCCATAGGGTCTCTCGGGACGTTTCCGTTCCCACCCATTTCCCATCATCTAAGTTAAGACGTTCGGAACTATTATCTGTGATGTACGGTACTAATCCAGCAACATAAAGAATTTTCAAAAACGCGATTGACGATGAAAATAAAATCGTCTTTCTAATCGAAGGCATTTTATCAATGTTTACAAAGTAAACTTTAAAAGACAGATCCTTTCCTTTTTCACATTGCACTTTATTATACAAAGTTTACAAGGTTCAAGCAAATAGCAAGTTCGAGTTCTTTCATATCTTCGCCAAGGAAATAAGATATTTTAACAATGTCCTAATGGTGAAATTCGAGTTTCAATACACATTGTGAAAAACCGAAATCCTTTTTCCTGAAGTGACGGTATGACGAACACATTCAAATTTCGATGGAGAAATTTCAGAACTACAGTTTCAAAGTCTCATGAAAAGTCCCCTGTAGTAATAACACCTTTTGAGGTACATCGTTTACGAAGCGTTGCTCATTGATAAAGTATACGTAAAACTGGGGCCTTTAATCACTGTAAATATACTACCAGGGTGTTTTAAATCAAATTCACATTGCTCCACTCAGATTGCTCAGAGTTCTAATCTTAACGAATGCGACCTTCTTCGACCTTTTCGGACAATCTCTGTAACCAATGAAAGCGAATTATATCTCAGAGATCACTCCTGATTGGCTAAGATTTTGCTCTCTCTGATCTTCGGATGCCCTCTGAATGGGTCGATGACAGACTTTGCTCTTTGATTTTTTTCATGAAGAAATAAAGTCCTTTAAATACAAGGAGTGTGATTTATGTACGATCTGTGTTTATATATATCAGTGTGCGTTCAGATTAAAGAGAATCGGATAAAAGGAATTCAACGGCGCGTTACTATCACAGTAAGCACGGATATATATAAAACACACTGTCGTGTTGTATGAACAAGCATATTACCTTTAACTGCGCGAAGATCCATATTTTATCTCCTCTGAAGCTAAATTCACTTACGGTACTTAAATCATTCATGGCGGCTTCATCTACATGTAACCAACCTTAAGATCACTTGATGTTATACATCTGTAATAAGTTTAAACAGTTACGGAAATTATATTACATCAATTTTATATTGTTTAGAGAATGTGTTAATAAATGAGCTACTAACATTATTATATATACATGTATATATCATTTGAAAGATGAAAAAGATTATAAGATATCGATAAGAATTGGTTTACTTGGTAACATAGAAGGAATTGTTAAGAAATTTTTTGTCATATAAGTTGCAAAAAAGTTTATGTATATATCCAGATCCAATGACATTAAGCCAAAAATTTACTTTATTTAAGTTTTACAGAAGGATAGAAAAGTATGTGTGAAAAAGTATTACATTGCAAAGGACAAAATGCTCAGTAAATGGGTATTATATGATGTGTACAACAAGTGACTACAAAATTAAATAATATCTTTCTTTTTTTATTTCTAATCTCTTGATATGTCGTTATTTATTTTTTGATAAATAACACCATCAACAAATATTTAAGTTTTATGTACATTATTTAATTACAAAGAAAGTGCACTGTGTGTTAATCTGGTGGTGAGTGGTTTATTTTGTCTGCAAAAGAATTTGTATGAAAAAAGCTTCAAAAACATTAATAAGGATATCCATCAAATAAATCACGTTATCATATTCTTAAAAAAAATGTGTACAAAATATCTTTTTCTATCAACTCGATTCTTTATTATATGTGTATTTAATTCAAATATATCATAGACAGGGTGTATACTCGGATAATAATTAGAAAGAAAATCCTTACAATTACTGTAACCGGTAGACCATCAATTCGCATCAGAAAATATGGGGTTGAAATATAGACATTGTCTTTCTGATATATTTTCTATTTATCAATATAAATCTGAATAATATGCAGATTTTTAATTAATGGGTTATATGAAATATGTATTTTGCAACAGTGTTTTAGTTAGTAAGCAAATGGTAATTAAACAAGAAGTGTTTTGTGAAATACTGATACCCCCGTATGGCAGTTCATAGTGAAGGTTAAAGTTTCTCGAATGCAAGTCAAACAGTCAAAGATCAAGGTCAAGAGATCAAAAATGTTGGTACCCAAAGAAAGGTCTTGTCCCACGTAGTACACATGTGAAGTATGAATGCCCTAGCTCCAACCATTCAAAACTTATGGCCAAAGTTAAAGTTTTTCAAAAGTATGTCAACCTCCAAGGTTGAGGTAAAAAATAGTCACACCCAAAGGAAGGTCTTGTCACAAGGAATACACAGTGTGAAATATGATACCCCTAGTACCAAGCGTTCAAAAGTTAGGGTCAATTAAAGTTAAAGTTTTTCAAAAGCAGATCAAAGTCTACGGTAGAGGTCAAAAGGTAAAAATTGTTGGTACCTAAGGAAAGGTCTTGTCACAAGAAATATACCAGTGAAATATGTAAACCATGGCTCTAGCCAATCAAAAGTTACGGCCAAGGTTAAAATTTTTGCAGACACACATACAGATGGACGGATAGGGCAAAAACTATATGCCCCGAATCTTCGATTACGTGGGCACAATGGATGACGTTATAAATGCAATTGAATAATGACATGTTATTTCTATATACGTTAAAATCATGCATAACAGTTTGGTATATACTAGTAATAAAGATATTACTTTGTAATGATATTCTGAAGATTCTTTGTTTTCATCCGGAATCTTCAGGACTGATGAACAGTACATAGAGAATATATTTAATATCTAGTGTTGGATATGATATTTATTTCACGGATGGGACAATCATTTTTTATATTTTCAATGGTGCAAAGCACGAGTGAAAATATATAGAAAAAGTCTTACTGGTTAAATAAATTCCATGTACAACTACAAAAGTTTGAATTTTCTGTGTACTTGTATCTGTTTTTTCTCTCCTCTGCCCATATCACCTATTAGCGTTCTTTTTGTACTGCAGTGGTACATGTACTTCTCTCTCTATCTAAAAATTGTATTTTTTTTAAACACTTTATGAATAGAAGAAAAAAATTATCGCGAATTTGTTATTTTAGCTGAAAATAACATTTTTGTTATTTTCACAGTGAAAACGTGTCTTTGAAAATTTCAGTATTATTCAAGGGATAAATTACATTATTTCACTGTTGAAAAATGTAATAAAAAGAGCACTTTTCAGTCAGAATGTGGCTGTGGCTCCTGAACATGTTCAGTATTGTTGGAGTCTTAATTGTTCTGGATTTAACCGTCATACCTACCTATAAAATGCCTGAATATTCTGTCCATGCATTTGGCGGCTGGCGAAAAATGCCATACAATATTTACATTTTTGCACAAAAAACATAAAATGTTCAACAGTATTGGAGTTGTATCGCAGCCGATAATTGCAATGGAATGGAAACACCAGATTAGAAAAACATAAAAGCAACGGTAGAGCGACCATAATTCCCGCGTGGAGCTCTCCGCGCGATCACACATGAAAGCGAAACGATAAACACAGAGCCCAACCTCATTAATCATGAGCTTGTTTCTCGTGCCAATTATAAACCAATAACTAAGGTTATCTGGTGAAGATTCTAACCATTTTGAGAGAAAGAAAAAATATGCTGCATTGTTACATAATGAGCTTTTCAAGGTTACTCAGTGCAAAATGTTACTACCTGAAATGTTATCCAAGGCATGTAAGATATCCCAAACAAAACTACTGTATAACATGTAAACTATAGTTTAGAGTAGTTTTCTTTTGGTAACTATACTAAATCAAAATGCCACAGTTATCACAATATTATAAATCAAAGTTTTCAAAGTTATCACTATAGTGTCATAGTGATCACTATAGTAAATCGTATAAATCAAAGTGTCAAATTTATGTCTGTTACAGTAGCTAATTAAGTTTTGAAAGTGATACATATAAGTGTAACTTTAGTGAACTAAAGTGTCAAAGTTATCAATATTATAACAGGAAATTTAAGTTTTCAAAGTAATTCATTTAACTTTATAGTGAATCAAGTGTCAAAGTTATCACTATAGTTAATTCATTTTTACTGTGATTAAAGTCTCGATGAATTTCACAATTTAGGTAATATCCAGTATTGCCGATTTTTATTTTATTTTACCAAAGATATCTTTTAATGTCTTCTATTTTCAATTTCATATAAAACATGTAAAAATTCCATGCACTTTGCATGCAATTCTTTATATTTTAATTTTTATTGTTTGAATAGGATACTTTTTGAAACATTTTGTTCAATAAGATATTGGTAAGATATTTCTTACACGAATAAAGGTGTAAATTATATTTAATTTCATTTCGTATTTTTTTTTACTTGATATTATCAATTTTGATACAATAAATGGAAGACAACTGATATTATGTTTCATATGTATGGCATATTTATACGTCACATTATACAAATGTTAAAAAATACTTTAAACAAGATGTACAGGGTTTTCACCTTATATAAAGCGATACAAAGTAAAGCAAGAAATAACGATAGTAAATCAAAGTGTCAAATTATCACCATAGTAAATTAAAGTGCCAAAGTTATCACTATAGTAAATCAAAGTGTCAAAGGTATCACTATAGTAAATTAAAGTGCCAAAGTTATCACTATAATTATTCAAAGAATCAACGTTATCACTATAGTAAATCAAAGTGTCAAAGGTATCAATATAGTAAATCAAAGTGTCAAAGGTATCACTATAGTAAATCAAAGTGTCAAAGTTATCACTATAGTAAATCAAAGTGTCAAAGGTATCACTATAGTAAATTAAAGTGCCAAAGTTATCACTATAGTAAATCAAAGTGTCAAAGGTATCACTATAGTAAATTAAAGTGCCAAAGTTATCACTATAGTAAATCAAAGTGTCAAAGGTATCACTATAGTAAATTAAAGTACCAAAGTTATCACTATAATTATTTAAAGAGTCAACGTTATCACTATAGTAAATCAAAGTGTCAAAGGTATCACTATAGTAAATCAAAGAGTCAAAGTTATCACTGTAGTAAATCAAAGTGTCAAAGTTATCACTATAGTAATTCAGAGAGTCAAAGTTATCACTATAGTAAATCAAAGAGTCAAAGTTATCACTATAGTAATTCAAAGAATCAACGTTATCACTATAGTAAATCAAAGTGTCAAAGGTATCAATATAGTAAATCAAAGTGTCAAATTATCACTATAGTAAATCAAAAGTGTCAAAGGTATCACTATAGTAAATTAAAGTGCCAAAGTTATCACTATAGTAAATCAAAGTGTCAAAGGTATCACTATAGTAAATCAAAGTGTCAAAGTTATCACTATAATTATTTAAAGAGTCAACGTTATCACTATAGTAAATCAAAGTGTCAAAGGTATCACTATAGTAAATCAAAGAGTCAAAGTTATCACTGTAGTAAATCAAAGTGTCAAAGGTATCACTATAGTAATTCAGAGAGTCAAAGTTATCACTATAGTAAATCAAAGAGTCAAAGTTATCACTATAGTAATTCAAAGAATCAACGTTATCACTATATAAAATTAAAGAGTCAAAGTTATCAATATAGTAAATCAAAGTGTCAAATTATCACTATAGTAAATCAAAGAGTCAAAGTTATCACTATAGTAATTCAAAGAATCAACGTTATCACTATAGTAAATCAAAGTGTCAAAGGTATCAATATAGTAAATCAAAGTGTCAAATTATCACTATAGTAAATCAAAGTGTCAAAGGTATCACTATAGTAAATTAAAGTGCCAAAGTTATCACTATAGTAAATCAAAGTGTCAAAGGTATCACTATAGTAAATCAAAGTGTCAAAGTTATCACTATAATTATTTAAAGAGTCAACGTTATCACTATAG